TTTTTTATATAGTAATAATATTACTAAAATTAATATTTAATATTTTATAAAGAAATTAACAATTATTTTTAATTTCGTAGACAAATTTGCCTGCTAGACAATCTAAGGGATAGCATCAACAATTCTTATATATTCTTCAGAGTCTTCATGAGTATTGTATGCATCAAATAGACTCTACTATCTAAATCCATATTAGTGTTTTAGTAGATTATAATAGATTATAATGATTTATTGATTTATAGTGTTTTTAGCGATTTTAACTGATTTAGCAATATTATACTCTAATAAATATCAGATTTATTTTTATAAGCATATTGGGGATTTATATGGTCATATCCTGACTATGCTAATTTTACATGCATTTGCACAACGCCTTCAGCTAAATTGGTTTATAATATGATGTACTGTATATCATATCATATGAGATCTCCCATAGTTTCCTGCTAATTCCTCGATAGTTCTAGAAAAGTTCCAGGAAAATGATTACGAATAAAATGCATATATTCGAGATAATGAAATCTGACAAAGTTTTGGAACAGAGTTATGGGTTATAACGATTTAATCAAAGGCGTTTGCATATGTTACTGTAGAAAAAAATCCAGAAAGTTTATGATTTTGGTTCTGAGAGCCGTGACATTAATGTCACACTACTTTACAAGTAAAAAATCAAAATGGCCGTAATCCCTCCTAAAAGAAGTCTTTATTATCAAGAGTTACATGAAATACTGTATATACATAGCACTAATTATTCGTTTGATCTAAGATTGATGGGAATATAGTAGCTTTGTCAATACCTCTTACCAACATGATTCATAGAGCTATCTTTACTAGCAATTACGCATTGCATCCATCATTATGTCAATTCCCTTGCAAATCAATAAAGAATCCCAAATCTCATGTGAAATAGCGATTTCTGGAAAAATTATCCATATCCGAATATTGTTTTATTAATAGTAGCATGAGTGCAAAACAATTAAGCGAAATATATGGGGTGAATGCTGGGAAAATGGACCAAATTGATTTTTTTTTAAAAAAAAAGTTACTAAGTAAAATAGATGTAGATTTGGTCATCTGATTCAGATTATTTGTTATTTCAAAAAAAATTTTTTTGTCAATTTGGTCCTTTTTCCTAGCACTCACCCCATATATGCGATCCGCATGTCACACAGCACTAAGCATTTTACCAATATTGTACTGCGCATTTCAGGTGATATCCATACTGGAACTAAACTTATTAATCGATTCTGATTTTAGATCCAGTAATGAGAATGCGAATGTTTGAAGGAGGATTATTAGATGATGAATTCGAATCCGTTCACGTTAAAGATGATGTTCTGATACGGATGAAGATGATGATTGATGAAATTAGTAGGATCCTAGTTGCTTTTATCCGAGATCTTAAAAGCGTAACTCCAAGGGCCAATAAAAGTTGTGTTACCGCGTGAAGAAAAAAGTATTTGCCCATAATAATGACTAAAAGCGCAGTACAAAAAATGAATGAACTACTAACAATACGTTTATGTGATATGTTATGCAAGCAAAGCCGGCAAATTTCTCTCAGGCCAAATAGGTACATATTCTTTATTAGATTTATAACAAGTTTAAGGATTATTAGAATTATGCTATGAATATTCTGCGAAGAGAAAAATTGTAGCTACACTAAGTGATTGCTGAGCAAAAAAAAAACACATGCACACTATTTTTCGTAATATCGATTCTTTTGACAAATGTGAAGCGAAAGAAATAAAATCTAACCTACAATGCCTTAATTGTTTATACGTATTTGAACAATAGATTGGCCAAATCATAATTATTTTTGGACTGTGTAAAAATGACCGAACGTTTATATAGTATCTGCAAGATACTTTGGCAAGGCATTTGCCTCAAAATTAATTTGGGTCACATCTATAAATAAAACTGATGATACAAAATAAATAACATTGTAAAAGTAACGATTATTCTATGAAAGTTGCATATATATAATCATTTGAATATTTGTGCCAAGAGTCTAAAAATTAGAACTCAGGCCTGCTACATTACAGAATTGACAATGAACTATAATACTTACCTTTTTTGTATTCAGCAACATTAGAATATTTTTTCTGAATCCAATGTTTCGCTTCTCTCCATTGCTCATATTCATCGAAATACATGTAAAAAGTATTATGAGGTTTGTGCCACCACCAACAGAACAAATTTAATTCCTCATAACATTCCATCATGTTTTCACTATCCCAAGATCCAACAATATCTTCTATCTCGAGGAATATTTTTCTCCCAGTGTTTTCGCGTCTATAAGCATATATAAAACGTAAATAATAAGGATCTAGATTTATGATGACTGTTTGTAAATCAGGGCGATCATGTATGTTTATTTTTTTAAGGCAATTGGACATTCCTAAAGGTAGGCTACTTTAAGTACCATAATTAGAAATAATAATCCACAATTGCAATATTTCATTACCTTCAGTCCAAAACCAAACCTCAATGATCCAGCCTCTTAATAGCGCTCGCCTCAAAAAAGGACTGTGATCACCATCGCCAGCAACTAACACAATTATTCCCAGTCTTTTATGTTCCTGAATGGCATCACTGATAAAAGCTCCAAGTTCATTGTCAACCTCTTTTTCTTTATCACGAAAAATTCGATCATGGACTTTTACCTGAAATCCAAGATCTTCAATTTCTTTCCACAAAGAATCATTTGGTGGTGGACGCGATCCGACGATGACTGGATCTTCGCCCATTTGTCGTCCATTCAGAACTAATCCAAGAAGTCGTCCGTAATCTAAACAAAGCTGGTTTTCAAAAACAGCCTGAAGGTTACTAACAAATTTCTTTCCCTCAATTTCGACGTTGGAATTGTCAATAAAAACATGCACTAGACCGGTTGGTTCTCTTGAAAAACCTACAATGAAAGACATTCTCCATATTAACCATAATAAATCCTGAAAAAAAAAAGATACAAAAAGCCAAACATGTCATGTTGACCTAATTATTACGACTCGCTTACCAGTGGCACTTGGTTGCTCTACGATAATGCGAATGTGTTTTTTGGGCGAGTTTGACGAAAACGACAGCGAAAAAATCAGTATATATTTGGTATATCCTATTGTGAAAGAAAAATCAAGCCAGGACACGTTCACTCGCGTTGACCAAAATTATTACGAATCACTTACCAGCACCGGGTTGCTCTACGATAACCAAATGTGTTTTGGGGCGGGTTTGACGATAAGAAGAAGAAAAGAAAAGCACAAGAATAATATAACAAAGAAGAAAATTGAGCCTATACCTTTGTATGAAAACATACCAGCTCTCAAAGATTCCAGGAAAGATATCAAGTAATTACGTTTCTCTTTATTCGTATCATAGAGAGCCAGGGCATCATTTATCTGATTTGTTAGATTAACATCCGTGTTAATATAAGCAATTATTTTCGTAAAATTCTCAGGTATTAGGCGTTTTATCTCATGATAGATAGCGGACATCTCTATTTTTAGGAAATTAGTAATACAAGTTATACAGTCGCGTCACAAAGTGATGCCCGATTTGAAATTACAACCAAATGTCACATTATTTATTGATTTATTTCAATTT